TAAATGAACTTAATATCTTAGCAAGATATATCCTACATGATTAATATAACAGTTCTAATAATATAATGACTAATAATTGACATCCTAGTGAACCTCAAAATACTTCAGCAAAACCCTTAGCGTTGCATACTAGAGCCAACTAATAGGTTAGAAATTGTCAGCCGAAAGCAGGCCGGCAAGATACTAAATCTTTGTTATAGAAATTACATGACACGTGCTTGTATGCAAGGAATGAATTATTTACTTTCAACTCGATAACTACGTGGTAAATGATGAAGTGGGCTCTCGATTTCACAAACCAGTTCCGCCGACATCATTCAGGGCCATACGCGAGTTAAGACTTATACCGTTGATTGGTCTGCTGTAGTTTTTGGTTACCTAGCTAAGTACCTTCGTGAGAGCAGAGTATAGACGCCGTGATTAGGTATGAACTGTAAGAACTTGCTGCACGAAGTGTTCCTTCGGAGCCTCACTTTAGGATGGCTGAGGGAGGTACCTGCCAGGTTGCCACCAAGCCGAACCATCAATCTTTCTGTATCAGTGGTGAACGGGCTCACTGAGAGCACAGCTTGCTTTTCGTCCCCGTACCTCTTTCCCTATGCTTTGAGCTCACGCTCTTCGACAACCGATTCGTTTGGCAAATGCTCAGCTTGCCAATGTGCAAGAGAATTACTTCAGACCGTGCTCCATCTCAGAGTTTTTCTTGTGCTACTTCCTGAGCTTTTTTTTTGGTAGGAGTTGCGGAAATAGGCTCGTCGATCCTACATTGTACAAAACACCGGGGTTAACCGATGCATCAGGAAGCGTCATCGGGAAGTAAATACCCCCATAACGTTTACGTATCGTGTAATAAAGATAAACGAAAAAGAAAAACAGCGTTAAATGGTCTAGAAATTCCGAGATATACAATCATCACCACCTACGACATATACTACAGCCAGCGATTTGTACCAAACAGAATCAGTGAGGGCTGAGTAAACGATTGAAAAAGTTTATGAGAGCAACGAAAACAGTGAGCACACCATGCATCTAGTTTTTTTTTTATAAGGCCAACAAAACAGTTGTTAGGGGTAGGTTAAGCACACCGTTGTGTTTATAACGTCGCAGGCTTAGATATCGAACTGAAAATATATATCTATAACTGAAAACGAATACTCTATGTCCCAAGGAAGCCCGAAAAACTTGGACACAAAGCTTAAAAAAAGGTCTTTCAGCCGCCTCACATATCGGTCATATTGATGGGATGCTTTTTTATATTTTGTGTACTGTATTTAAAGTGATCGATATATCGTTATTTCTATCATAAATCTGCAATGAACGCGGCGTTAACCGCTTGGCCTACTCTACCATAAGAATCATAGAAAAATACGCTCTGTATAGACCATTTCTTCACGAGCTCCTGTCGCCCACTCACGGGCAGCCCATAAACTACCTTCATTATACGTTCCTTCGCCTCGCTCCCATCTGCAGTCTGCAAAAGCGTGGGCACCGAGCAGATTTGTCTGTCATTCCTACCGTATTACACTGCTACTGCACATCAAGTTTCGCTGCCAACACAAATCGCCCGATTGCTTTCTTATGGCTACAACATTAATCTTCGCTAAGATTTTCCATTCCATAAATTTCATAGTCTCCTGAAATTCCGCCTTTAGCGTAAGCAGCGCTCCGTACAAGTTGCATACTTGTATGGTAGTGAAGCTCCAAGGGCATAAAAATAACCCCAGTATGATCACTAAGCCCAATCCAAGCAGGAAAAATCAGAACCTTTAAAAATTAATGCAAGTCAACGTTACGCGTTCTCTGGCCCTGTATATCAACTTAACAGGAGGAGAACATCAATTTATTTTGAATGGTTCTTTTTACAGCGAGTTGAAGAGTTCTAAGACTATCTTAAAGATAGCCGAAATGTTTTTTTAGGGACTTGAAAACTCCTAGATATCTATAAATCTATGCAGAATTTAACTTTTCCTCGGCTGTCACGAACGATATTTTGTTACGCTATTGGACTTCCCTGAGCAGGTATGGCCGGTAAAAACTAACAAAGCAAACCAGGAAATAACCCTGGGGGCTGCTGTGCACGAGTCACGCACCGCCCCGCGCCAATGAGAATTTCTGCAAGCACCAACGGCAAAGGAAAACTATAAAGTTGTACTGCAGGACATTGCTGGAGAAGACAGCAGCAGTGGTGTCGTGGGACGCTTGTTTTCTTCGATTTGAGTTAAGCAGGAGGTGTTTTCTTTCAGGAAGTCGGCTACACGTGCCCTGTTCCGGCTAGATTGCGGACAAGCAAAGCCTCTCGTGGGGTTTGCTGCCTATCCGACAGGGCTAACGCACGGAGCTCGTAGCGGATATCAGCCAGTGTAAGGGGTAGTCTTACGCTAGATAGAGCGCATCAGTTCTGTATGGATGTGGTTGTCTGCTCATGGAGCCATCATGAAGAAGCATGTAATTGGATGGTATAGAAGGAAAATGGAGAGCAGCGTTGGTTCGCAACAAACCCGCTGTTTAGGGCTTATGATCACTATGAGACATATTCTGCGAGTAGGTCGGGGATTATGGACGGGCGAACTAAAGTGCCGAAGGCCCAATAAAGCCAGTGTCATCTTTCGAAGTGTACAACCTATATGGGGCAACAGAACACATCACGCAGCCTGTTACAGAGAGACCCAGCCTGACTGGCTTAGTTAGAAGCTACTGATTAAGTTGTCAAGATGGCACCGGATCATGTTTCTATGAAGCTCAGGGACAGGTTGGAACTTCGTTCAAATGCCTGTTTTCAGATACAGAGATATACAAAACTTGAGACGGATTTGCAAATGCTAAATTAGAACCTTCACCTTATGGACTCACGCATAACGAGTTACGTCGAACGACACGTTCAATTAACTTCTTGCGTTTGTTCAACTTCTATTAAATCTACTAGCAGCCTACCAAGTGGTCGCACCAATTGCAATAAATTGTATCAAAAGCAAGTTATCAATCGCTGAAACGGATTATTCGTAGCTTGATAATATAAAAGGACCCAGTCAATCCCGGCGAAGTTCATATACAATAACGTTGTTTAAAATTGATTTTCGACCGGAATATGTCATTCGAACTTTATATACACGTACAAGTGTCTGGAGTTGGACAACGCAAGGACAGATGAGATTTTGATTGTCCATCATAACCATGCTGGACAAGCGGTTTTGATCAACTTCGCTGTATACGCATTCAATCAGTGAGCCAGAGCTCGTTCCCATTAGTGTGAGCGACCTAGCATTTGGGCTGCCCCGTCATTATTTCGTCTTTCGATCCACCAACTAATATCAGCTTGTCGCAAAATAAATATCAGCAGGCATTAATAGACTTCCCCCTCCGAATCCATAATGTGAGCATAATCTCTAGTACGTAGCGCACGCAAAAGGGGTACCGCTGTTACTTTGCCGTTAAGGGAATTTACAGTAAAGACAACGATCCAGTAGCATAGGGCACGAGCAGCGACAGTCTGAACCGTCACGACGATGATGTTCACGCATGATTGGCCTCGCGTTCACCTTGTCGTCAGGCTAGCGTACCTTCTCTCTTTCTCGCCAGGGGTCATTCGCTCTATGAGCTCTGTAGTCAACTTCGTCAAGATACAGGATCGCTAAGGTAGACCCCGTTGTTTTTCGGCCTGCCCTATTAATCCTGGCCATACAAGAGATCCAGCACGCTTGAATGCCTCCCCTTTACCATGTGTTGCCAGCGACTCCCTCCAGTGCGTTTGGCACTCGCACCCGAGTTGGCATAGAGCGATACGGATCTATGAAGAGCATATGGAAATGATCGACACCATCGTTGGCGCTACTGCAATCGCCGCTACGAAGATCTTTCAGCCGTAACAGTGCCTCGTAAACTCGTAGCCTAATACTAAGGACAGACGGCGTCCCACTATACCATTCCATACAGCCCAGGGTTTAGGAGAGCTACCGTCTAGGCAAGCCTCATGCTGTTCCTAGCTTGCTAGGATCGCCTCGTCTGATGTGGTCTGCTCTTAAAAATGGCAATTTCAGCTTGCCACCATGTTGTCCAAATACGAATCCTGTTAGGGGCTAAGGGAACGGGAACTGTTACTGGTGGTGTAGACGGGCAACCAAGCCAAGCAGAGGCAAAAGGAAGGAATTAGCCCCCCCCCTCCCAAACCAGGAGTGTTTTCTTTAGATATTATTCTCTTGGCAAACTTCAGCTTTCTTCTCTCTATGAGATCGAATAGCATATCATTGATTTCTTCCCGCCTCAGGAACGCCGGCTATCCAAGCAACATATATATGGATTTATTGGAATCTTGAGGAGCTGCTGTGGATATTATAAATATATTATGTATACGTGTATATTAAGATCAAGATCAGTCTGAGCATTGCCTAAAAGTGTCCACATCTGCGTCTACGATTCAATTTGGCGGTTGTTTGAAGCAGAAAAAAAGAACGGACAATCTCTGCTAGCGAAACACTACTACCCTGCAATGATACGCTGTGATATCAACTATTTCAGCATGAGAACCGAGCAAGAAAGGAATTGGCAACCCAGCTTATATAGGGCGAGTGCAATATAGGACCACAATGTTAAGTGCTTGCGGCCTAGAACATCTCCTATAGATACGGTTCTGTCTTTAAACTGAAGCTTAAACTCTTCCTCGCAACGAGTCATATTAGTAGCCTCATATCAGCTTACATAGAACGTGCAATAGGGTTATCTTAATGTTAGTAAGGCTACACGAGCTGAAAGCCAAAAGTTAGAACACTGTTTGCGTTTGAGATTGGTGTCATCGACACGTTTTTACCGATCAATACCCGGCCGAAGAACACCACCCCCTATCGCGGGAAATAGTTTTCATACCACTCATAAGCGAAAGACTTGATATGCTCAGATGTCTCAGGATGGTGCCACCATCATGCGTAACCGGAGATATTGACGATCACGCATATATCACGAGCTCAGTTTGATTTTTCCGAAATATGTACACGAAATGGCCCACTTACCCCCGAAGCGCATCGATGAAGATGCGGGCTCCATTGCTACGGTCCAAAACGGCTTCGAGTTTATCCACAAGACTTTCCACTCGTGCAAGGCTACGAGATGAACACGCGCACATGTCAGCTTGGATACAAGCATCACTTTTAAGTTTCTTCGACTTCAGGGTGAACTTTAATGGTTCCTCGCTATTCATCATTCAGCAGTAAAGTGAGGAACAACGGCCCTCTGACAATGGCACTAGCAATACGTTTCTTCACCGAAATCACAATTACGAGGTATCAGTGTTGCATCAGGCCGCAAAATGTCGCCGTCGACAGACGCCTTGCTTCAAAACGGTTTAATTAGGCCCTTATCGTTTCTAGGCCAGAATCACGCTCGCCGTATTTTCCAAAGCTCGTTACACGCACGAGCAGCAGCGACGAAAGTTCTTCTGCTCACGACTTGTTTGTTCCAAACGCTTGTTAGCGTGTGTTATCTTTGTGTGATTGCGCTCAGAACACCTAGTGTTAGCCAGTACTGATTTACGCTGCATCAAAGCTCCAATCGTTTAAGCATAACTGAAGTAATGGTTGTAGCAACAGCAGCAATCAACTCGACTACGAAACGAGAACGACAGTTGGGCCTGTTGCCGCTGTAGGATCAGTTTGGCCTGGTCTCTGTCGAACTACACTCTATACTTTTCGATACATTGCGATTCGATGATCTTCAACCTTTCGTTAGTGGTTAGCATTTAGCATAGCATAAGTCGTCCGCTCGACTGACTTCTACCAACAAACTAGAATTAGTCGGACGGCGTTGGCGCTCACTGCCATTGTTACTTCTGCAGCTACTCCTTTTGCCGCTGCTGCTGTTTCGACTGGAGCAGCCAGAGTGCAACAAGCTGCCTAAGAACACTGCCGTTACCACCACGTTGCCTTGATCGATGTCGTCGTTATCCTTGATCTGTCGATCTGTATTAGAATAGATCTTGTCCTTTTTTGTTGTTTTCGCTGCCGCCGATGTTTATAGAACCGTCATTGTCGTGTGCCGTTACCGTTCCTGTGGGGGGAGAAGCAGCCTGGCGCTGCCTGTCGACCTCTCCCTTTTGTTCTCCTTTCTCCGTTGTTCAGTTGGAGCTCTTCTCTGCGTCGCAGCGCCAACGTCAACGACGGCGGTCGTGTGTGGCAACTCTCTACGGTTTGCCGAACAGCCGTGACGCTTAGAGCCACGCGTTCGTGCCGACGCCGCTGAGTTTGTCCCACTCGCCGAAAGCGGAGACGCATGATAAACACGACGGCCAGCCCTCAACAAGCTCTTTCACCATCTCGGACAAACTAACTTCCATAGAACATTAGAGTACTATTGTTTCCTATGGACACAATAACACAGGTAAAAAGTAAGGGAGATTCTTGAACTTTTGCTACATCAGAAGCGCGCACGCACACCACTCAACAAGCAATCGCTACTAAACTACTATAGTTACCATTAACATGAAGCGCAAATTTTGTTGTGGCTCTATTCCTATTTACCAGAGTCAGTCATTCGAGCCTGCTCTGTTCCCTCCTGTGGACATTGGCCATTGGATGAACGATACGGCCCGTGGTTGTTGTGGTTATGTTGAACCTGACAGGATGTCAGACCGCCTATTGACCACCGAGAAGACGACCAACCATGACAAATGCTGTTCGCGTCGTTTAGCGATCGCACGAGCCGGCGCAACAGATCAGCGAAAATTGATCGCTCGAACGTCGACGTAAGAACCGTTAATAGTTACAAGGGGACAGGGCGGGCGGAACAGACAGCGGTGTGGCTGCCACAGATGGTCGTCAAACAGTAGCAACGGCATCGGCAATGACAATTACTGTGGCTGCGATCTGGTTGTGTCGCTGAATAGCCCAGACACAAATACAAAACCATTCGAACACAGACACAGGCACGTACAACAGCTAATCTATAGGCGCAGATTTGCGATGAGTGACTTCATCGGGTCAAGTTAACAAGAATCTACCTTCAGTAAGCGTTCCTTTCGGTTACAGCAAAATTAGGCCAAACATGCCCTGATCATCGTTCTTGGTAACTTTTTTCATTTGCAGGTTCGTACGTGCGTTCGGCTGCTATCTGTTGGTGGTAATCGTAATATTCACAAGATATTTCCTTGTGTCGTTCTCCACGAGTGAAAACAATGCTTGTTGTTGCAAAGTGAAAGCTGCCCAATCCTTTTACAGACGAACCACTATGCACAAAATTACGCCAAGCTGAACGCATGCAGTGGTTCCTACAAGCCGAGGACAACAATGGAGTACTACAGTAATGCACGGCTATGCCAACTAGCGCTTGTTGCTATATTCATCGAAGATCGGGGGCTTCGTTGTTACCATTTGCACCACTGGATCAGGCACCTTATTGTCATTGTCGCAACGGATGGTATCTTACGAAACGAAAAACGCGGGCGCATATGAACCCGAGATCAGTACCCTTTACGACAGATCAGAATGTCCGAATAGTGCGTAGAAATATGTCATGATAGCTATTTTCAACGCATATACTGGTCAACACGAGAACTATTTAAAAGCAAATGGCGGACCCAAGAAAGGAACCCTTGATACGTAACGCATATCGTGGTGAATCGAACGATACGATGAAATACTGAACGGAACAGCCAAACGCTCGCACCTTAGCAAGAAACGTTAACAAATGCATTTATTGTTTTAGCTAATACATCAGCCTCTATTTCAATGGTTTTTCATACATGCCGTTTCCGCGTGTTATCTCCAGTAGTCGACGTAATACCTTCCTTCCTCCTTTCTTTCTTTGCTTTCGAATATCGTATATACAAGAAGGCGTCGCCAACAACACGATGTGTAATGCTAGGCTGTTTCGAATTGGCCTGATATTTTATGTACGATACATATGCCCATCCCGATTGTTGTACACGTATTTACGTAGCACTTTCTACCTGGCTTCATGATGTAAATACTGGTATGAGATTTGCTCGCGAACTAAACATATATAGTAAACATGAGTAAAGATAGCACCATTCAAGCAGACTGGCATCTACATAGAGTTCGGCATGTACTTTCTGTTTGTTAGCACGATATCTTCTTAGCATCCTGTGGGGTTTTTTATATTGCCCAACGTGTTTTGTTACCGGAGCCGGGGATCTTTGAATGAGTCGAAGTATGAGATGCGTGCTACCTCCGTCAAGCAAATTCATTACCACCATCATCATCATCATCATCATCGTCGCCTTCGCTACGAAAGTCGGAGCAATTTCAACAGCCTTAGAGAGGGGACTCTCGTAGTCTCAAACAATACCTGTCGTGGTGAACTCACCACAGTGTATTATTTCAGCAAGAGAAATTGAACCTCAGGGGGATTGTCCAACACTTCTTCTGCCCCCCAAGTAGGTCCCATCATTTGAAAACCCCTCATTGAAATGTCGTTTTTCCTCACGGAGATTTAACCCGTGCTGCATTTGTATAACATGAAAGGAGCGTGGATTTTCGCGTACATACGGTACGAGTGTTTTTTTCTTAATTGACACGCAGCGCATACGGAATAATGCGGACTGACAGTGGGTAACGATTGAGACCCACGGTTATTTTTTGACTACGTTCGACGACACGTGCAGTAGCACGATTACGCTAAAGTAGTATTATAAAACTTCGCAGTCATATTTTGCATTTGTCCGTCTTCGACTATCCAATGTGTTTTTACTGTCTGGCCCTTGAAGGAAAAAGGTCACGTGCAGGGTGTCGATTGAATGATATTGTCTAGTTTTTAATAATCAAGAAAAACCAAACATCGTAGATATCAAAGTCTCTAGCTACTCACCATACCCACGCTGACTGTGGAAAGTCAATTCAATCAATACAGCTCCGATAGGAGGAATAGTAGGACGTAAACACTTGAACTGCTTTGACCTATCCCTCCCTCATATTCGGTAGGAAAACATTCAGATGCTCGTTGTCATGGGTTAATGAATATTTAAATAATCACACCATCCGCTTTCGCAGACGACACAAATTACGATTCAGCCTTCTTCCGGAAACACGATGAACATAAATCGGTCACATGGGAGACCCAACTCCACTCGAGCTCATAGCAATAAATACTGGTAGTTTTGACTAGCGCCATCGAATCAGCGTTAATAGATGACCAACGCCATATCTCGAAATTATCCTAGGGTGATGGGTGATGACGCCCCCTGTTAGCTTCCTTCTTTGAAAATGTTCGCCACCATTACTAGAAGCTCTACCGTTATCTTATCCTGAACAATCCAGTCAACTCAAATGGTCAGTGAAAAAAGGCGGGCGAAGACTGATCTACTGAATAGAATGAAAAGCAGTGGGAGAAATCAGAGCGTAGAAATAGTTTTCGGATCGAATGTAGGTTCCTGGCATATACACTCCAATCTCCCAATCGGAAGCAGTGATACGGAAGCGACCAAAAGTGTAGGAGATGGATTCGAACGTGGGCCGAGAATAGCAAAAAACAGCCATCGAAAGGAAGGCATTTACTGTGTTGTCCACGGATAATGCTTTAACATAGACAGTCGCCGCATGTGAGCTATGGTCATTTTTCAAGCAAACTATAAGGCTATTGCTTATTTTTACCTTCGAACGAGACATGCGTATAGTATGTTGGGCTCATTAAGACAGAAATATAGTTACAATTCAGTGCAGGCTCATTTTTGGATAGAATGCATTAGTTTAATCATACGGTAATGACGGTTGCTTGGCCTCGCGGCAAACGAATTTATCAGTTAGCGCAGGTTCAGAAAAGTGCAAGCAAGTCCCGCCCCAGCTCTTCCAACGCGTGTCCGTCAGTATCGTAGGCAGGAATACCTTTCCTGCATCTGCTAAGCTTTTTCTCATGTATTGTCTACTTGCCTGAGTTACGCCATACAGAGGTCGCATCACCTGACCTGTTTTTCCAAAGAAGAATTGCAACGTAGAGAAGCCTTAGAGCCCTATCAGACTGAAATCATGATATTTCTAGAGTGGAGACTTGGCGTAATTCTGAGCTTGAACGTATCTTCTGAATCTGGCCATTCTCCATTTCCTACTTTACAGTATCGTAGATTCACATATCTTCGTTAGGCATGACAAATCTGCTTAGGACTTCATCGTGCGGGCTTACGCCGTTCGATGCCGGGCTAGATGTTTAAGGTAAAATAAAAAAAAAAAGCCCTTTGTAACCATTTTTAACGTACACAGGACTCGTATACATTCTCGGTTTCCAAGGTTTTTGGACTCAGCGCGGAGCTCCTTTAAAGCAGTTCTCTCAGCTACGTATTCGGTCGCCCTTTGACCCCGCGAAAAGGCAGAATAGGGAAGCTAGGTATAAAAAATACACTCTTCACCTGAAATAGGCATATTTTTGCCTAAATTTGGGGCAAAATTTTCTTTACTAGTTGAAAGAATGGATTCGGAGATTTGGCAAAGAACAGTGAAAAAAGATTCATACGGTTATCGAACTGGTAATACAGGACCAGTACACCTCATTTATACAACCACGAACAGGAATGGCATTTTTTAATAATTTTATTCAATAGTTTATTAACTTCTGACTTGGCTAGGTAGGCGTTCTACCTAGGATGCTAGAAACAACGGATCTAATAGATGCTACAACGTATGGGCTCAGTGCTTGTTTTACCTGATAATTTTAAACTAATTGGATCCACTCACCTGTTTGCGTCGATTTCATGTATCCGCTCGACCTGTCGTTGCGAGAGGTTACCTACTGCATTCAGCGAGTGATTTAGATCTTCCTCATGCCCGGCGTGCAGAGCCCCCTGTGTTTGTTGAGTTTGGATGAACGCCTGTAGGGTCGCTCGCCACAGCGAGCGAAACATGTCCCTTTGTACCGACGGCAGCGCTGCTAGCAGAGCAGAGTTTGAACGTGGCCGTCGTTTGCGACGCTTTCGACGTGCTGCTGAGGTCGACAGAGGAGCAGTATGCTGATGTTGATGCTGAACCAACGGATTCGTTAAAACAGGGGGCAAGCAGACTTCACTTGGCTGATCGTCGCCGTCGGTCAGCGCGTTCACTACGCGTGAACGTCTTGCAGCAGATGACGCAGCAACGACAGAGGACCCCCCTCCTTCTCCTCCTCCTCTGGAAGGATGAAATGTCGTCGTCGTCGTGGACGCAGAACGACGCTCTACATCCCAACAGCCGCCACAGTCTACGATCGTGTTCATGATTCAGCGGGGTGGCGGCGAGGCGGGCGGTGGCGAACGGCCGACAGCCGTCATGATAACTACAACAGCATCTGCTGCAGCTGTTGTTGTTGTTGTGCTTGCGGTGACTGACCAAGGCGGCTGATAAATGAAACGCACCCGCAATTACACGTGTTTATGAAGAACAGACACAGTCATCGATAGGCGTAACATCAATGGAGACCGGATAGCATCAAAAGCACGAATGGTGAATGTGCACTAATGGCTGAACTAAAAAAAAGGTGGTCTTAGCCGACAGTTGGTGGCGGAAGATCTCAAGACGTACGTATGTACATATATGCTGACCTGCACGATCAGTTACTATTGCCATATAATATATGTATAGGATGTTATCAGTGTTCCTTCAGCTGCATGCGAGCACGTATCAAACGTATTTACAACACGCACATGTATGAAACGTAGGCTTGTACCAAACGGGTAAAAAATTAGTTGGTTTAGGAGTGAGTCGTTTGAAAGGGAGAAAAGGTTTGTCTCTTCTAATGTTTTTTATTAGTTATTTATTTTTTTAGGTGAGGCGCTGACCAGTGAGAACGTAAAAGCGTTGATTCTTACTAGCTAGCATTAGCTAGGTAGCTATACATCTCGCTGTGCTATAACGTCCTATACAGGGTACCTGTTTGCTCGTCGGACAGTGAAATGCGGAACGATGCCAAATTGATTGACCCTTCTCATCATACATCTTACGGAACGGCGGGTAACAGTAAGCAATGATGAGGATAACAGGCCTATATACATTTTATTATTGCAAATTCGTATGATGTCTGTTTATAACATTGTATCTAGATATTTCGCCCATATAGAGTTCTCTAGCGTTCCTCTTTATGGCCTATGATTTTAGAGATATTTACATAAGTTGTACATTATATAAGCTGTAAATGAATTCCCATTTTCTATCATACTCTATTTCTTAATACTTACTTATGTTGCTCGCTAGTACAAGTAGTAAGTATTGCGTTGGTATCGAATATAAACAGTATCGATCAGACTCAACACAGACGTTTTCCAGATGATGATGATGATGATCTTCCACGTACGGACGAAGATAATCAGTATTAGATGATGATTATTATTATTATTAGTATGTATTAAATGAGAATATAAGTACTGATATTGCAGGAAATTGGCTGTATTTAATATAGATTGTAGAAATGGGACGACACCGTCAACTGCCCTCTCAAGCTGACTGTACATTAGATCCGATGCGGTTGAATAGTATCCACCTGTTACGAAATTAGTGTCACACCGGTGAGTAAAATAGACAGACGGAGTTGTTTATGAATCCCAGATTTCCCATCTTGCTTTCACACAGATCTACGAACAGGTTTTTCCCGATTTATCAATTAACGACAGCGGATCTAGTTCACCGCACCAGCTCTGGTACTCGCCAGCAGCTCGACGAGGACAATATAATACGCTGCTTGTCGATTGTCTGTAAAATGAAGAGATTCGATAAGCTTTCAGTGATTATTAGCTTTTTTTAGTTTTTCATCCCGGTACTTTACTAGGGACGACCGACGATCGTGTATTATAACTGGTGCTTGGTTTTTAATGTCGTTTGGTATTGGTTCTGTAGTACAGCCTAAGAGATTGTCGCTTGCAAATTAAAATAACAGCCTGAACGTCAGGGTGCGGAGCACCAGTTTTGCCATCTCTCCGTACTCCACAGGGGCCAAAAACTGATGCCTAGCTCCGTACCGCCAGTTGTATTGCTGCCTGGGCGGCAAGTGCGCCCACGATTGCACCGAAACGCCTTCTTGGTCCCGTTCCCGCCCGGCGGTGCTCACGTTACTCGTTACGGTTCCCTTTTTCACGTTATCTCAAACGAACGCCATTAAAAGCGTCATCATTGTGCACGAATAAGCCGGGGTTGACTCGACAGCGGTCACTTATACAGTGCTTCGACAGGTGAACCGCCGCGTGTTCGGTCACATGACTATTTATCTCTACCCCACCATCTTGCGAACCTGTGACTAACTTAACTTCTCATGTGACTCAATGATTATTGCTAGAACTGTTTTTCCGTACTTGTTTTAGCAGATAATGAAAGTGAACTTGAACGCTACAGCAAAGCCAATCCGCTAGAGTAAACGCGAAGCCTACCGGTCGCACCTGAGGTGCATGACGCTTCACAATAGAAGCCCCACGAGGACGAGCGATTTTGATTGTTCATATCGCTTAATTGGATTGATTGATATTTTGTTGCTTTTTTGTTTTTCCTATTTTGTTGCGATCTTAATTGATATAACGTTGTGCTGTCGTCGATGTCATTATAGCCTATACTGTCGTTGTTGACTTTAGCACGGAATCGAACGGCAAGGCAGATAAAAAAAGATCAACTGGAGGTTTCTTTCTTCTTGAGAAAAAGAACTTTCAAATAATA